CCACTGTTGGGAGGCTGCAGCCAGAGCAGCTCTGCACCCCCTGCCTCTTGCTGCCAGCCTCCCCATGCCCTTGTAGTACATAGCTAAAAACATCCAGGGCAGCAAATACCGACTATGTGAACACTTACGCAAACCTGGCATCGCTGTCGTAAATTTGGAATGGAATTCAGCAAATAAAGGTGACTCCTGCCAGCCTGTGTTACACCGGGTGCTTTGCACAGGCTGTGCCTTGGAGGACACGGTGAGCAGATGGCAGGGTGCTGGGGCTGCCCCCGCAGCTGGAAATCCTCCCTGGGGTTTTAAAATCCTAAACTTCCAGCTAAAGAAGTAGTCAGATGCAGTAATGAGACAGTGGGTAGTGAGGAGCCCGCTCTTCGCAGCCATGAGCTGCTCAGAAGTCATCATGGCTGGTGTTGGGCTGGGTGCACGTAGCTTAGCTCAGCTCTTCTGCTCCCTCAGCAAGGGGAGGATAGACGTGATCTGGCAACACGCAGCTCTGTGTTCTGCAAACTCCCAGCCCTTGGCAAATATTGGTGAGAGCCGCCCCTCCGGGGGCTGCAGCACCCAAAGGCGAGGATGAAACTTAGCAGCTGTGGTGTATCCTGTGTTTGCATTGCAGAAAAACCATCCTCTGCAGCGGGCTATGACTCCATCATGCCAAGGGTCAGATCCTGCCTGTGGTCTTCTCAAACCAAGACACTCCCAGGTGGGTGGCATGGCCAGGGAACTCCGTCTGCCAAATCCTCCTCAGCCCTCACAGACGACCCCATCCCCAAAACATCTGCTTCGAGGGTTTGCAGCGTGGTGGTCTTTGCCTTCCCCCCTCTCCTTGAGGTCGGTGGGGGAGGTACTCACGTTTGACAGCTGAAGGGGCAGCAACCAGCTGGGAACCTGCTCCCACTGCCACAGCCTGGCGGGAACCCCTCCCCTGCCCCAGGTCTGAGCTCACAATGCAGTGTCTGGGCAGGTCCCCCAGCCCTGCCTGCACTCCCCATGGTAAGGAGCCACGTGGGACGTGCACTGTACAGGACAGCTGCGTTTTGGGGAGGAAGGCTCCTCATGGACACAGAAATATTTTTTGTTAGCAATGATATCCCCTCAAATAGCTGTTGAATGACCATTTCCCACAGCTACATGGAGAACTGAGGGTGAATGCTGACTATATTTACTTAGATACAATTTCTAACTTTTATTCTCTAGCAAGGACCGAAGCACTTTCTTTTCCCCTCTCCTCCCGAGCTCTGTGCTTTCCCCCATGCCGGGCTCCCTGGCACCTGCAGCACAGCAGGAACGGGAGCTCTGCTCTGCCGAGAAGGGAGACGCAGCAAAATCACTCCATATGGCTCAGTCCAGCGTATCAGGACAGAAGGGGGAGCCCAGGAGACAAAATCGGAGAGCATCCCACCCCGCCAGGCTCCAGCTAAGCTGTGGATGTTGACAACATTCATAGAAGCTTGTTTTTCATTTCTACAGCCACCTTTTGGCGTTAATTTATGGTTTATAGGAGACCACTCTCACCTCTGAGTCCGTGCTGGCCTTCCTGCGGCGCTGAACAGCAAGCTGTTCCACCGGCAGTGCCCAGAAATCGCCACCACGCTGTATTCTGCTGTTTTCCTCTCTGTATTGATGGGCCAAAACATCTTCTCCCATCTCTTCCCCCACACTGATCCTTTCCCTCCAGACCTCCGACACCTAAATCACCCCCGCGCTGTGCCCTTCATCTCCTACCTGGTGTTCATGCTTTAAAACCCACGTCACTCCAGAAGCCACCTCCTTGGCAGCTTGCTTGACCGATAAGCACTTGTCCTGGACAAGTCTGCAACCTCCTGGTAGGCAGAACTGTTGTGGTTTTGGCTGCTTTTAACAAGGCACCTTCAGGACTGATACTTTTAGCAGTAAAGGAGCCCGAGCTGCGTTACTGCTGGGCGTATGAAGTGTCCCAGCTCCTGGTGCGTCCCAGGGACACCAGCCAACTCTCTGACCTGCTCCGTCTTGTGAATGCTTTCCAACGTCCCAAGATATTTCCTAGCAAATAAATAATTTTCTAATTTGATTAAACGACTACTCCCGCCTCAGGCAGAGCCAGCGGAGGAGCGGCTGTGGGAAGGAGCCCAGCACGGTTTTGGCTCTGCGGAGAAGGGGCTGCCTTTCCCTGTGCTCCCCAAGCCCTCTGGCAGGCACAGAGACCGATTCACATCACAGACCCGACCTGCTGAGACTTATTTAACATTTCCTACCAGGCCAGGCTATGCTGTGAGCATATTGTCAGATAGTGCTGGTTTGTACTTGGGTATTTTCAGATACCTTCTGTTTGTTACATTTCTGTTTTACCCCTCTGAAGCCAGACATCAGTTACTGACTTGGGTGCCTATTAAAATATAGTCACAAATAGACTGTTCTGCCAGTACCTGCCTTAGTAATTTCTCTCCAGTTTATTACTGACAATTGTTTGTTTTCCTCTCCAGCCGTGAACAATATGCCCATTGTAAAATACCCCAGGGCTACAGAGCCTCTCTGGCATGAATGGGACAGGAAAGCACAGAAATGTGGATTAAGACACACAGTCTATGCTGTAACTGGGGATCAGTATACTGGAGAATGGCTGGACAACTTGAAACATGGTAAGATAGACCATTTTGAGAAAAAGTACCAATTTAGCTGTCTTTACAAAAGTTCTCAGGGGCAGGCAGCAGTCAGCGGTTGCATATGCTCCTGGAAGACCATTCGTGTATGACTATATATGTATGTCTTTGATACATGTTATGCAAAAATGTGCTTAAACATATTTCTAGTAGGTAACTTGAAGGGCTTTTGCATGCACTCAGGAGCAACTACATGAAATATCTAAATTATAGATGTTTAAAAATCTGCTACAAACACAGCAAACTGCAGCCAGCTCCATGCGCCGGGATGTGCCCTGGCTGCACAGTCCCTGGAGCTCTTGGCTCCTGGGTCAGCCTCAGGAATAGTCATTTATTCTCAAGTCGTGGCGGGTGCTGCAGGAGACAGAGCAGGGAAAGGGGACCCTGACCGAGCCCTGAGCAGCCGGAGCAGGACAGGATTGTTTACAAGCCGTAAAACGAGGTTTGGAAAGATTTAAGTGCATTCAGCAAAGGCCACACAGGAAGCCCCTGATTAGATTAACGATGCATCCGACTTGGGAAGCTAAACTGAATCCCAGGCATAAACCAGCCCCGGTGCAGGGAGCGCTGCCTCACCTGGGACTGAGCTGGAGGAAGGCAGCCCTGTAAACCCTTCTCCCAACCCCTACGATGGTCTCCATGTAATTCCTCCTGTATGTTAAACAGGTAAAGGTACCCAGGTATGGAAACGCACCGGAGCTATTTATAGTGGTGACTGGAAGTTTGGGAAGCGGGATGGTTATGGATCATACAGCATTCCTGACCCTGTAACCAAGGAATACAAGAAGGTGTACACAGGCTGGTGGAAAAGCGACCGAAAATGTGTAAGTGAGATGTCCTGTGCCTGCCAGCGGCGAGGCAGCATGCCCCTAAACACAGGGAGGAGTTGGGTGCACATATGCAAAAAGATCACTTAAAATACTAATTTTTCCAATACTGAGGCTGAATTGAAAGGGTTTGGGGAAAGGAATAGGTGGAATAAGAAAATGAAAGCAAGAGCAAACGCTCTGGTATTTAAGCTGTCCTCCCCTGCCCTCCCCAACCTTGCTGCTCCTGGCGTTACTCCTCCAGGTCAGATGCTGCAGATGCACTCCTCCATGTCAGATGATGCACCACGTCCCATGGCTGGCAATAACGAAGCAGCAGTGTGACTCTGGGCTGAAGCTACAGGAACAGCCTTTCCTCCAGGCTTGGGTTGTCTTTAAATCTTAAGTCTGAACCTGCAGAAAGCCCAGGAAGCTTCAAGAGTAAAAATCCATCATTCATAAAAAGCCAAGTGTGGCCGAGGGTGCCCCATCACCAGCCATCTCCCTGCTGGAGAGGGACCCATCCAAGCTCTCTGCTGATGACCAGGCTACGACCCTGACCTCCCACCAGCTGCCGCAGAGCAGCTGCCTGGACTCACCTGCAGCTTGGCCAAGCAGGATGAGAAGTTTTGTGTTCCGTGTCTTAATCCTCCCCACCCATCCCTTTCATTCCTTTCATCCTTGAAACAGTCAGAGGAACCTGTGTTATAAGCACTGCAGGGAAATGTACCTTCTTCTGGGAGTTTTACAGCGTCTTAGACAAATAACAGGAGTTCTTTTGGAAATTAAGCCCGTCACATAAATCGCGGGTTTTTCTAAAGGGAACATAACCAGGAAGTCATCTGGTAAAAATGACTGCAAGCTCATGTGCAACATCCTTGTAGGAATGTTTTCTGATCTGCCAATGGAAACCCTGTGTTCACCTTTGTGTCTGCCCTTACGTTGAATTAACAGCCTCATGCGCTTCTAATTGGCGCGTGGCTCTGGCTCCAGCCTCTTGAAGGCAGCTTCCTCTCCTGTTCTTTGAGGATATATTTTGGATGATTGAGCTTTGGCAAATGATTTATAATGACATCAAAATATCACTAGGGTTGTTTTTTTCTTCTGCAAAGGCCTCGCCTTTACATCCATGCAGTTGAATAAAATTAATACTCAGAAAAATCAGCTATTTCCAGAACTGATTTTATTTTTTCTTCAGAGATAAATTAATGCTCTATTCCTATGGGAAAACTCATTAGTAATATGTAAATATTTCTTACTGCTATCACTCCCTGGTATAGGGGGTAGCTCTGGACTTCTCTTAATGGCAAAGACACATGTAAGACAAACACCTCCTGGGGTCCCCAGCTTGCACACACCCAGTGATCTTAGTTCAGAAGTTTACCAACCAAACCTGCCAGCAGCATCGAGCCTGAGGAAGGAAAGCAAAGAGCAGAGATGGCGCAATGTCAGAGCCCACCTGCCCCGCTGGGGTGACACCTGCCACCCCGGGGAGCCTGGCCTGGGGCCGGCTGCAGGGAGGCAGGCGTGGCATCACTGCCTGTGCTTGCTGGTCCCACCACAGGTAGCCTTCAGGGCTGGCTTTAGCTTCTTGTGAAGGAGGAAGGGAGCAAGGCAAGGGGCTGCGTAGGACACTACCCCTTTGGGGGTATGGATGGAGGAGAAAGCAAAGCCATTCCATGGTTAGCATCGCTGCCCAGGGGCGAGGGAAGGAGTTGCCGAGCCTGAGCACACTGGGCTGTACGAAGCATCGTCAGGGCTGAAAGGCATGAATTCCCTGCCTGGAGAGATGGGTCTTGTTTATGCTGTGTATCCCCAGGCAGCTTTACCTTCTAGTAAAACCCGCCTTTAGCTAAATATTAGCAGTAATCATGCCAATAATAACACACCGTGATACAAACCTGAGGTTTTGTCCTGGGAATAAAATAATTTCCTCAAAAAAAGAATCCCAGGCCACCACTTCTCGTTTCCTTCAACACAAGAATGGGCACTGAGCTGAGCTACCAGCTGCCAGGTGTGAGAGCAATAAGTGAAGGAGTAGCCTAACAAGAAAGTAATGTCCTAAAATTGAACACAGACCCCTTTCAATACAGAGTCTCCTAACCAGCCATCTCTGTGCTGCCCCCCAGGGCTACGGGACAACATTTTACCCCAGCGGGGAGCACTACGAGGGTGAGTGGAGCAGGGGGCTGCGGAGTGGCTGGGGACGGATGTACTACCGGGACGGCTCCATCTACGAGGGACAGTGGCTGGAGGACCAGCCCAATGGGCAGGGGATGCTGCAGCTGCGTAAGTACCAGCCGCCCTCGCCCGATGTGTCTGCCTGCACCCTTCAAGGTGTTTGGTGGTGGTCTGCTCTCCGGATGCCTCTGCCATCCAGATTTCTGGACGCTACATCACACTTCCCACTGCGTCAGGGCTGCGGCTGCTCCCCTGTGTCGTCCCTCCGCTCCTGGTTTGGGGCTGGAGGCGGCACAGGCTGTGCAGAGGCTGTGCAAGGGCTGGCGTTGCGCTGCTCAAGCCCACACACATGAAAGCTTATTTCTGCTGTGATTTACATTTAAATGACTGGGATGGTTAGGGTTAGAGATAATGTACTGTTGGGTCAGAGAAGAGCAAATCTCTCTTTTCAAGCCAGGCACTTTGCCAGACATACTAACTGCTGCATACCAAAGAGGAGCCCACTTTCCAGTACAGAAAAAAAAAAAAAAAAGAGAAGTTTTCTTGTTGAGTTCACTGCATCCCCTCTCTTCTGACACTGGCTCACATTGACTGAACACGAGGGTTTCATTAGCACACAGTCCCTTCCCAGAAATAACACCAAGCACATCACAGATTGGGAATGTTGGGGGCAATCTCAGCATAAAAATATGAATTTGGAACTTTTTTTCCCATGTTTTGCTCCAAGTTTAACACGTTTTTCCCTGAAGCCAAGAATCCCAATCCTTTGCAATACAAGGCGCTGCATTCCAGGAACATTTGAAGAAATATTATCTCAATATTATTATTCATCTATTCAATTTTTTTTTGCTTGAAAGTGATCTCAAGGCTAGTAATTAGCTAAGCAAAGCAGCTAGGGGGAATGAGCACGACCTTCACTGCACATCACATGCACGACTGCGCTCTCTCTGCTGACTGTAAAGTCACTTTGGACCGATGGCTCATCCAGATGAAATCAGCACCCGCTTCCAGGGGTAACTCCTTCCACTGATCTGCTTCGTTTCTGTCAAAGTCACCCTCAGCATTATAAAGTGATGGCCCCTGGGGGCCGAGGTGCGCGGCTGATGCATCATTTCAGAGCCTGGTTGCCTCCAGTGTAGCCTGCAACTGATTGTGAGCTGGATTCCTTTTGGTTAAAATTAGCCAGAACAATTATTTCATACCCACAAGCTTAATGTATTCAGCTCAGCTGCTGGAAGTGTGCCCACGTGCCGGCAGCTTTGCGATCGTGAAAGAAAAGGAGTTCTTCAGTGGAGGTCACGATGAGCTGCAGCTCAAGATTAAATTGCTTGTAGTGGCAGCGTGCCCAGCGAAGGCGAGCTTGGCTGGGAGCACCGCGCTGATTTGCCGCCTCTGCTACAGCCTGTTGCCGAACGGCTTTTAAACCAGAGCATCGCACGTCCGCAGAGATCTCGGTCGTGAGCAACGCAGCCTCTCAGATGCTCTGGGAGGAGGGTGGCTGGGAGCAGCGAGGGCGTTCGATGGCCCCTCCATCACAGCCAGGTCTGTGATTTTGGTGGTTTCTGCATTGTCGATGGCTGGAGAGCAGAAGCTGAGCTGCTCCCACCAGCGGGCAGGGCAGGCCGGTGTTGCAGATAAACACACCACCAGATGCAAGCTGAAGATAACCACTGCCACGGCTCCAACCTGTAAATCAGACCCTGCCTGAAGAGCCCGGCAGCCACGCTCCCCAGAAGCATTTTTGGTTTTTTCCTCTTCCCTTGCAGTGTTCTGGCAGTCTGCATGGTGCTGGTGCGGGGTGCCCTGCTATTTCGGCCACCTCTTGCCACAAACAATGGCAGAATTTGGCTGAGACCCAAAGATATTTCCCCTAAGTAACTTGGTCGGAAAGCCCCATGGGTTTTGGTTTAGGAACACTAGATGTAGGAAAAGGGGACAAGCAGAGGACTCCCCTAGTGACAGTTGCGTGGCCTGGAAGTATCCAAGCCCCAACACCACTGTGGTATGATGCCCCTTTCTCAACCTGCATCCCTGGACAAAGATGCTGTCTTCCCCTTGCAGCTTTGCTTTCGCTGTTGGGGGATGGATGGATGGATGGATGGATGGAGAGCAGCACAGAGCCCAGAGAAATCTCTCTCGACTTGCAGAAAAACGCCAAGAGATGCAGTACAGCTGGAAAAACAGTCTGTAACTGATTGCCTGAACCATTCAGACACTCACAGCGATTCTTGCCCTGTAGTTCATTGAGGAAAAACATAACTACAAGTATTATTTGAAATAAGATTATTTTGACTGGACAATGATCAGACAGCACTGCTGTTCCTTGCCCAGACAAGCAAACCTTGTCGAGCCAGAGATCCTGTGCGATTTGTTGCAGTGACAAATCCAAAACTTGCATCCTACAATTTTTCACGTTTTGAAGAGTGACTCAGCTACTTGTCTTACCCTGGGCTCGCTCGCTCTGCATATCAGCAAAAAATTCAGAAAAAGAACAAAGCAGGTGAGCGCAGTTCTTTTTCCAGCTGGGCAAGCATGGGCCTCTTCTCCTTCTGTGGCACAGCAAATGGAGCACTGCGTAAGCAAAACAACACGCAGCCCCCTTGAAATTACTAAGAGGAGCCAGGTTGCTTCCTCATCTGTCGGTTTGCTGTGTTGATTAGTTTTGTTTGTAGACCCTTAATGAAATAGTGCAAATTTCATGGTCTGTTCATGTATTCAATTGCAGCAAATGAAAATCGGTATGAAGGAGGTTGGAAAGACGGAAAGAAGCATGGCCCAGGGAAATTCTTCTACTTGGATAAGGGACAGTTGTTTGAAGGTATCTGGGCAGCAGATATACCAAAATGTGGACTCCTGATTGACTTTGGCAGAGATGAAGCTCCTGTCCCTACTCAGTGTCCAATCCCAAAGGTAATTGCTTGGAAATTTTGGTTTTGCTAGTGATGTTTGCTTTCATCAGTGCTCCTGGGCAGCTCTCCAGGTAGCATTTTACTTTTCAAGTGATTACCCCCATGGGGTTCCCAGCTCACAGGGTGTGTGCTCGGAGTCTTTTGGCCAGCAGTGTCCCAAACAGCTCCATAGGGACAAATGGCCCATCTAGCCACCACTGGAACCTCCTAATCACCTACATCTGAAAAAATGCAGTTCTCATGCACCGAAACTGCTTAGAGACCTGAAGCGGCACAAAGGAAACGGGGACAATAGAGGCAGAGACAATAGTGGGATTTGCGTCAAAACCAAACGATTTCGCCAAGCCGAATGGCTCAAGCTGACTAGAGCGTAGCAAACCCCGAGCAGCTGCAGGCTGATACCAGCTCTTTCCTTTACCCAGGCACCCCGACTCAGGGGCTCACCCGTGTCCAGCAGCCCTGTGGGTAGAGGGGTGCGTGGAGCTTCCCACCTCACTCAAAGGCGGGCAGACAGGCATCTGAGAGCCAACATCCTCCGCTATCCTTTTCCATTAAGGTTGACAAAGGCTGTGGAAGAAGAGCCAGTCCCTGTCCCCCTCCCAAAGACCCAGCGAGATCCACAACATGGCACACGGACATGCCAGGCACATCACTTGAGCACAGGAGCTTGAGGACAGGAGAAGCTGTCCCCTGCTCCATGCCCTCAGAGGAAGACAGGGAACAGGGATCAGTAGGGAACAGATGTGGCTCTGGGAGACCCAGCTGGACAAAAGAGTCTCAGCTTAATTCCCCATGATCTGCGCCCTGCACATGTGTAACACAGCAGCGTCGCGTTTCCAAGGGACGGTGACTGCCGGATACAGGTGGGGAGCTGCTCCTCTTTGCTTGGAGCCAAGCAGAACCACACTGGATAACCTAGCAGGCTGCTTTACTCCAATAACACAGGGAATAGCACGGCCCTGTGACAGGTTGAGCTACCTCCCTCCCTCCTCTGCTCCAGAGACACGGCTGTTGCAAGTGACATTGGGCACGGGCAGCTGCCAAAGCTCTCAGCTGTTACCTCTTCACTTCCCTTGTTTTTTTCAAATCTGGTTTCTGTAGCAGGGGCCCGTTGAGCAGACATTTTTGACAAGCCCGTTAATCCTGTAAGTACTAGGCACACCCATGGCAGTGCAGAATAAACAGCACCAAATACTTACCAGGGAAAACACAAATCTTGATTTGGCAAAAAAGAGTGAAAGGTGCAGTACTTCTGTAGCTGAAAATATTTACCATGCGAGTTTTGTCAAAGATCACCTGAGAACAGCCTCCTCAACAGCCCTGCCCAACAGCCTGGGGTGAATTGCCATTTCACCAAGGCAGGACTTCAAGCCTGGCTGTGTATTTAACTCTCCAAAGACCACATCGTGACCCAGTTTCCTTCTGCTCTGTGAACAAAAAGCAAGCATCAACTTTCACTGCCCTTACTGCACTTTCCATCAGAAGAGATTTATTGATCTCAGAATATGAAGTAATAGATAAAAGAAAAATTGACTTCAGCTTTTCATAAACCTGTATTCAAATTACTGCCGCAAGCAGCTGTTAGAGAAAAGTAGATGATGGGTGTTAGAAACTGCCAAAACTAGAGATGGACTAAATCAGCTTTTGCTGCACCCAGTTCCATGCAGACTACATGAATCCAGCCTCCTGCTTTCATGCGACCTTCGATACTCACTTGGGTGGCTGCAGTTACCTTCTGAAACTATCGGTGAGACCCAGGAGGCGACAAATCAAATACAGTTTTGTCCAAGAATGTGTTTTGTTAAAGGAGAATCGGCCTGCTCCATGCAGAGCTATTTCAAGGAGATGAAGTAATGTAATAAAATTAGGAAAGTGTAACAGTGTTTCTAAAACAGTAATTGAAAGGCTGCAATATAAACTAAACTCCAGATAGGTGGAAGACTCTCCATTAACGCTTGGGTAATCAAGATCTCTAAAACCTTAAGTTTATTCAATTACGCTGTGTAAGTGATTTGTATTCTTTTTATTTAGATTCAACTAGCTGATCCAGATGGTGTTTTAGCAGAGGCCCAGGCAAGGTTTGATGACAGCCAAAGCTAATAACTGGATGCCAAAGGAAAAAAGAAGAAAAAAAAAGTGAGATAAGAACACGATCCTGGGTTACTTCTTCATTTGAGCCTCAAATCGACACTGGCATATTGTGCTGTCTGCCTCATTTCTCCCTCAAGGCTGCTCACCCATGCTTTACTCCACAGGTGGCCTCCTCCCACCCCCCATTATTTTGGAAAAGAAAGGAAAAAAGAAGAGAAAAAGCCCAAGCAGCAGGATGCTGGAAGACAGAGCGATTCTTTGCCCAGCTCCTCTGAATTACTCCTGTAAAGAAACCCCAGTCCTGTTGGTCTCAAGGCCTTTCATCCATTATATGCTATAAAAGCAAAGCCCTAGAAAAATAGTCAAACAATCGCCCCCTCCCACTCCCCCAGACTCAGCCCAATACATACCTGTGATCCAAGGTGGCTTTGGCAGTTGTATCAGATCAGATTTCAATTAATATTTTCATCCATACAACTTCTCTTGCTCTCCCCGTGTGTTTTCTGTAACGTAATGCTGGGTGTCCTCCCTGCCCCCCGGGAACACAGAGCACCCCATCTCACCCTGGCTCCGCTCCTTGGCCAGCCCACGCACCGGACCCCCGGCACTCCGCCGACCGCTCCACTTCCACCCGACGCAGGGACCGCGCGCCCGCCCCACACAGCTCCTGACCGGCGAGGTGCTGCCGAGCGTCACCCACAGGAGCGAAGGAGGGCGGCCCTGCAGCTGGCGGGTGAAAACCAAACTGGGGGCAAGCGGGTCACCAGTTCACCGGATTGACACCGTGCTTCCGAGTATCACCTCGTGTTCACAGCGCAGTTGGTCCCTCGATTCTTCACGTTTTCTAGGCCAGAAGGTAACCTACTTTTCTGTTTAAACGCTCAGAGAGAATAACAACACAACACGCTTAGTCCCAAGATTTCCGGAGCGCTGACAGGAGGAAAAGCACGTCAGCATGTTATACTCTTTATGCCTCTGTGTGAACAGGAAATTTTATCTTCATATTATGACTCAAACGAGTGGTCACATTTAAGAGATCCTCAGAAATACAGTTAGGATTAGCACAATGTAGCTGAAGAGACACGGGGTACAGAGACAATGAGCCTATTTTAGGCCTATAGATAACAAATAATCAGCAACAACTGAGTATATTTTATTTCAATAAAGTATTTTATATCTAAATAAGTGATATACAATAACCAATGTTTAAAATGCTTGAGGTAAATGCATAATACCATTAGTATAAATAAGGGATAAAAAACCAAATTCTAAGTGCACTCTTAATGTTTAGATCCATGTGTTTGGGTCTGGTTACTGCCTCTGGCACACCCTTCCGAACCCGTGCCCAAGGTGTAACTTTCACAACCATTTCCACAGGTGGAAAGTGAGACAAACATACTCATTATCATGGCTTAAAGTGCAGAAAATAGTCAGAAAAGCAGCTGTAGTAACAGCGCCATTAGCTCAGAACCTACCAGCTTGAGAAAGTTAAAAATACAGTTATCCCACTAGCTTCTAATTCTGTATTTCTTAAACAAAACAAAAAAACCCCACACTTCTCTGTCACTTTGTAAAAGATCACAAAATAAAGAGAAATTCAGCTACTTATCCAGGACAGCAAGTGATTTTACAAAATAAACTTGGAAAAAGTATTTTCTGGACTTCCATTCAAAGTAATACTGGAACCTTTAAATCTGCAATTTATGGACAGAAGGGGGATTTTTAAGCCCGACCGCAGCCTTTCAACCATTTGCTCTAGTTGTGAATATCAAAGCAGATTTTCTTCCTTTACTGAGGATTTTTAAGAGTCTTTTTTCCCCAAACAGGACTAGTATTCCAGTAAAGGATGGGAAAATACATTTTGTGCCTGCTACCAAGATTTCGTGTTTTGGAATGCTGCTTCATTAATGCCTTTACTAACATAATCCTTCCAGTGCTCCATGAGTGAACACCTGCGGGGCTACAGCCGCAATTCTCACCATCAGCAGATTTACATCAGTAACAGAACATATTCGAAGCACAATGCAATGGCAAAGCTAGAGAAAATCCAGTTTGGCCTCTGTGTGCCAGAAGGACTTGTGAAAAAGTCAAGTGGAAAGCTGTTTTCTGCTTGTGAACCAAGAATTCTGCTGGAAAAAAAAAAAGGCCAGCAGTTTTTTGGGTTGTTTTTTTTTTTTTTTACAGTTATTTTTCAGAATACAAACGCACCACGGGTAACCTTGTCAACACTTCCCAGCGCGGTGGTGCTGACATGAAAAATCAGTCCCATTCGCTTCACAAGGCTGCTTCAGTAGTAAACACGCTGCCACCCTACTCTGAGACACATCCTACAGCTTGTAAATATGTCGGGATGACCTGAGATGGAGGTTGGGTGTGAGAGACCATGTTCAGCCCCGGCTCAGTCAGGTACAGCTCAGCTGTATTCTCATGTTCACTCTTGTTTAACTGCAAAATCCCAGGTTTCTATTCCACAGCGATCGCTGCGACAGGGAGGTCAAGTTTTGTTTCATTAGACTTGGAACCTGTCTCCCAGTAAAGCCCAAAAGCTGCTCCACAAAGAACTGCATTCCAAAAAATTCCACTTCTAGACACAGCTCAAATGACTGAAGCAGCCCAGGACAATGGCTGCAACCGCTCCTGGACAAACCTCTTATCTCAGAGACCAAATGGACATTTTTGCTTAAAGAGGAAATAAAAACCGACACAGTAGCCTCGCTGTCACAGACATGTGTCTGAAAGTAAGCAGCAGTATTAATTACAAATAACCTACTTTCATAAATAAATATACATAGAGAAAAGTAGTCTTCCAGATCCTTTGGAAGCAAAAAAAAAACCCAAGTTATTAAATATAACACTTCAGCAGGGAGAAGACTTTTTCTAAACGAGGAAGACCAAGGCAGAGCTAATTACTTGGGAATCCAACGCAGAGAAAGCACCTTTTGCTGCTTGTATCTGAGGTTTTATTAAAAAATATATTTTTAATATAAAAGTATAAAATAATTACTACTTTGGCTTGGAAAAAGACAGCAGTGGTTCTGATTTTCAAGCAAAAAAATTGTCCAGTGATAATTTCCATCTAGTTCCTTATTTTTATATATTTAAAAAAAAAAAAAGATTCCTAAATAGGAAATAGGCAACTTTATCTCTCCAGATAATATGTGCTGGCTCGTCAGAACTTTAAAACAGTTATTGCTTTTATTTTCTTCCCAGGAAGAATAGAGTCTCGTTTCTACTCATGTGGCCATACCACATCGCAGTAAGACTAGTCATGGGTGATTAGCGAGTTATAAAATGTGTAACTGCCACAGGAAAAAGGTGCTGGAGAAATCAATAAAGTAATAATTACTTGGCAGCAAAACATACTGGGGAAAGTGGTGGGAAAGCTTTCACTTTGCCATCTGTCAGGCTTTCTAGAGAGAACAGCACTAGCACTGAACCCCAGGGCTAATTGCTGTGTATCCCAAGTAATTTGTATCATGCCATGCAATACGGATCAGACAAGTGGGATCTTCTAGTAAATGCCAACATCAAATAAAGAGAGGAAAAAGAAGCTTCTCTACCCACCCCTAACAACAAATACCGGGATTTACAGTGCCATTCCCCATGTATTTCTACAGCCGCCCTTCAGCATTGACAAGGAGGAATCTAGGCAGCACTCACGAGCAGAGGGATGCACACACAGGGCAAGCATACCCCCCACCAGCCATTCCTCCACATGTCAGCCAGACAAAATGTTATGAAAGAAACATTTTTTTTTCCTCTCTAAAGGGTTAGAACAACATTTATAATCTCTCTTAAATGGTAATCAACAGTTCCACCAGTTCATCCACAGGGGATTCAACATAAGACAGAAGCGGAATCGTGGGTTTATTTTCTTTAAGTACAGCTTTATGCAAAATGGGTAACAGCTGAGGAGATGGTATCACCTCTGTGATCCAGCTGATCCTGGAGCCGTGCAAATTCAGCGAGTTCATTCAGTTCTTGAAATTGCCTGTCTGTTTTATGGCTCACCAGTGACCTGTAGAAGTGGACTGCAAACACAATGAAAATCAATCCAAAGGGAACCATAATAGACGTTGAGGCGATGGCCGCTGCCTGTCCTGATGTGATGGCAGAGCTGTTGCTTTGGAGGGGATTATCAGTTTTCTTCTTTAGAGGAAGAAACTTCACCCAACACAGCAGCACGACCTCTGCAAGAAAGAGCAAAGTCCCAATGACAGTAGAAAACGCCCACGCAAGCTCAATGTGCCGATGCATACGCTCATGAGGAGATTCCTTCACAGAGTTGAGATTATGCACGTTGCTAACAGCCTCTATGTTTGGGAGAATGCAGGTACTTATCATGAGTGCAAAAAGGTGAACTGCAACAAGGACGGTAGTGCAGGCACTGAAGGCTATCAAGAGACCTTGAGGGTAGTCATGTTCTGCATCCAGCTGAACTTCTACCATAGCCACCTGAAAAGGGAAGGAGAGAGAGATGCCATTACCTCCGTTAAAATAATTTGTAGTGAAATAATATCTAAGTTTAAACCATGCTTCTGGAAGATGATTTGATCCAAACAAAGTGATAGCCTGCATTTAAATTGCTCTTCGTGTCAGCCTGCACCCTTCTCATTCAGTCCAAATTTAGGTCTGAGCTATCAAGCAAAGCCCGCTGTTTTCACACCTAGTGTTCTGTTGTAGAGCAAACCACCAGTGTGCATAAAAGCTACTCACAGCACAACGACCTCGCCACCTCCAACTCATCCCAACAAGACAGATGAACTTTGTGATCAACGCACTTGGACTCTTAAAGTGAAACATTTCTTCTTTCCTGTATTATATTTTTTTTTTTTTCCCTATAGATTACAATTTTTGCTGGGTATCAGGAAATGTTTTGTGTTCCATACATATGTAGACCAAGTACCGTATGAAGGCTTGTGAATTAATATCTATAACATGAAAGCCTGCCACAGCAGCAGACTGCCCGTCACAGTCTTGGCAGTCCTTTCTCCTTGGTCCAGTCCTCAACTATTGTATGCAGCCATGGCCTTTTATAAACTCAGATCTCCAGGCATGCCTGTGCTTAAGGGGCAGAAATTAGCATTAAATAACAGCACTAGGAAACTCATAAATGCAGCTCAAATATTTTTGATAAAGAAAATTAACTAGAACACCTTTTAACAGCTTTTAAAACTGTCAGGTGGTTTTATACATGTGCAATTGATGAGTGACATTAATCCCAGCAGCTCTCTTGAAAAATAATCTTTCGTGATAAATTTGCCTTTCAGACAAAGCACAGTTCCAAAAAGGGGATAATGCAAAGTCTCTATGTTTAGTGCTCTTCCTCAAAGGATCTCATTAAATAGACAAAATATGTTTAACATGCAGAGAAAAAAAATCTAACAGCACTCTTAAATATAAACACAGGTAGAGCACATAAGGAAGACACAGAAGCTGCCATTCAGCACAGCTCAGACTGATCCCCACCAGCCCTTTCCGCATCTTGGCTGCCCACCCTTGATCCTTTGTTGAAAAGGCTCAACTTGCTAGCCCAGCGAAAGCCAACCTGGTTAAGAAGCGCTGATCTGCTAGCTTAAGGAGCGGAGCTGTTTCTGCAGTGCCTCTGACGAACAATGAAGCTGGCCCAGGCCCACGTAACTGAGGAGGAAGCAGTTGTACCAGGACCTCAGACTCCTGGTGGCACTGAGCTCTGAGCCTAGCTCTTCTGTAACATACCAGTTTGCCCTCAGAAAGACCACAAAATCAGTTTGTACAACCAGCTCTTTTGAGTCCCATCGATACGGGTTTAGCCCATTACCACATGCCATTATTAATGGTTTGGAAGCACTCTGCCCATAGCATACATCTCAAACACTTCAATTTTCATCAAGCTGATAAGAAGATGTCATAAAGTATGGATGCAGGGAAACACGGAAACCAGGACCCAAAGGCAGTCCAAAGAATATTCAAAACTCACTGTTTTGCAAGAGCTGAGCCAAGCTACACCTAGTCTGGGATCCCATCTCATGCTCCCAGAACCAGCACGTTCCAGGAGACCAGAGCTCTTAACCACTAACACACCAAGCGTATTAAGCCAACCAAGGGTTTTGCTCAGACATGTTTCAACAGGTATTCAAGGCCATTTGCCAATATTTTAATTCCTTTATTGAAAGCTTTTATCGTCATAAGCCGAACCACCCAGCCAACTAGCAAACAGTTTCCAAATGATACGAAAAATACTAATTCTCAACCATGGGAAACTTCACATTTAAGAGGATCTCTCAGGTGTCTCTTCTGCAGGTTTGTTAAGTCCCAATGCACTTGTGGCACATTGGGCTTCCTGTGTTTTTCACAGAACCACAATCCCTCACCACTAAGGATTCATTTTCATACTTATCAAAGGTTTTTTCTTGCAAATTTTCTGCTGGATGTCTAGACTCAAAACCATCCAGTACAGCAAGACATTGTAATCCTTTATTCTGGTACTTATTATGTTAACATGACCATGACACTAAAGAGCTTCGTAAGATGAAGACTTCCTTTTCTTTTAAGAACTGATGCATTTAATTTGTCAAATACTGAAGACGCTTTATAGTTCCATTACTCAATGTTTCCAAGTAATAATGATACCAAGGACCTGATTTTGAACTTCAGTCAGACTCTCTCAATTCCAACCTACCAGCCGTTCTGGAGCTACTGCTCTCTTCACATTTCAACAGAGCATCAAGAAGAAATCTTTTCTTCCTCCTCTTGGCCTAGCCTGAGCTAAATAATTAAATTTAATCTAAGTGTACCTATTTCTGATTTGGCTACAATTACATGCATGTTGAAAACAAAATCTTGCAAGAAACCAGCTTAATTTAAGCAGCGTTCAGATACTCAGATAGCTCTGTGCCTAGATAACAGCCGACAGAATCATAGGGATCACTATTAGAAGACGACATCCAGACCAGGAATCCAAGTCTTCCTGGGTTAAAAAGACTTCATTTTATTATTGCTGGATGTTTCCCTAAAGAGCGACCCCAGGAGCACCTACAACCATTACACACTGACGGGATAGCTTAAACCCGAGTTGGAGCTATACAAGCAAGGCTTCATTTGATATGGCTGACAAATACATTACTTAATTCCTGCTTTGCACAGGAAGCTTGTTGGGCAGGTAGGCCCCAAATCATCTCTCAGAAAAAGTTTCTGAAAGCCAAAAAGACCGTAGCTATTATTTAAGACTTGTCACAATTTACCCCACGAGCAGGAAGGGTGTGACTTCCTTCAACTCAAACCATACCATGCAATTACTTATTGAATTCCAAGTGTACTCTCTCTATAAGAATAATTACGGGTGGCATCAACATCACTTGAAAGGTAGCTGAAGTACTAGTCCTCTAACATGTGCAAAGCAAGCTGGCGGCCAACTAGCCATACACACTGCCAACTACTCCCAGTTTGGGATGATGCCAACAAGGTGCCAATCAGGCAGAAGCAGGGCAGTTGGCCATCGCAACCTTGAAGCCTCATGCGCACCTTCACACAGCTGAAAGCTGCAGGGGGGAGCCCAGTACTGCAAAGCACCAAGGGGAGGGCACGCTCCCCAAGGAGGCTCCTAGAAAAGGCCAGGGCATCCCACAGGGGGCGCATGCCTGACCAGTTTCAGCACCTTCTCCCAACTCAGTCCCTCCCACAGCAGTTTCCATGCCAGCACAGCCCTGATGCTAAACACCAAGGGAGCCCAGTGTCAGGAATGACACTTGAAGTCATGTCATACTATGCTATCCTGCCAACAAGCAACGTGACCTCCTCTCTATGGCTGGAACCCAAAGGAAGAGTACTACCTGCGTCAACTGCTGAGCCAGGAAAGATCCTACACGAAAAGTGAGTAACAGACCACAAGTTCTCCAGCAAGGGAGTCTGATCCTTTTCTAAAATCAACCAGTGACAAAGTGTGATAGAAGCTAGAGGTATGTGCATAGGAAACAAAAGACACAAGAGATTTCTTCATGGGTTCACGGACAGGACAAAATTATGCCGAAGCTACCTAGCTGGACAGAGGTAGCCATAAGCAAAGAGAAAATGCACCAAGTTGCAGCTGTAACTGACACTGGTGTTGGAAACACCCGAAAAGCAGGAGTAGGGGAAGCAAGAAAACAGTCCTCTTTCCCATTCATTCAGCATGAATGGACACTTCAGAACTCACTTCAGATGCAGACTTCTGGGGAGGCTGTAGGATGAAGAATGCCTGGAGGATTTCAAAGTCTACTGAAGTTGATGGAAAGTCTCCAGGGGGTCACAGCAAAGCCTCCTTGTGTTCAGGCCTGGCAGAGTAGCTCCAGTTTGACCCCTAAGTGAAAAATCAGTTCATGTTTTCTGTCTCCTCAATCCGTCAAGGAAGCTAATTTGGGAACCTTTTCACCATAAACTAGCAGAAAACTGCCAACTCTTTCCAACTGCAAGTCTCTGTTCTTCACTTCCTGAGCCAAGCTTGAGCCAGGCACCTAAAACAAAAAGGTCCATTTTTCATTATGAGGCCCCGTGCCTGTTTTCAAACAGTGAGGCAAAGCATTAGAAGTTCTGCTCTCCTTTGCTCATGCTGCAGTTTCAAAATGCACAGATCACCACTGCTCTGGCAAAGTAACACTTGCAAAAACAGAGCTCCAGTGAGCTCATCTGGTACGATCCAAATTCATGCAAAGTCTGAACTCATGGGTACACACTGATGTTCCACACAGGAGGATGTTTTCCTGGGTCCTCTACCAGTTTCCACACAGGCTCAAGATGATGGGCCCCTCAGGGCAGAAACTGCCCTTGATGTCTGCACAGTATCCAATACAACATATTTCAGCACCTTCTCCTTCACCACCTTCAAAGCTTCTTTGAACACTTGCCGCATGATTTCTACTGTGCAGCTGCCATGCTGCAAGCATCCTGCCTTGCTGCATAATCACTGAATAACATAGGTTGGAAGGAGATACCTCAAGAGGTCATCTGGTCTAATCTGTGGCTCAAAGAAGAGCTAACTTCAACTTCAGATCATCCTGCAGATATGACCGACAGACTTACTACAGCGCTTGACAAAGCTGTAAATCTGAAATACAGCTTCCTGACAACATTAAAGGACTCTTGTGATGGTAGGATGCAGGACTGGAGTTCTCATAAGCCTAAAGATGGGCCTTCAGATGCTTTCAAAGATAACTGAATTTGGGCACACAATCATGTTAAGGCTTCTGACAGCCTTGGATTTCAGACTCATGGCAGCCTGACTACTACCATAGTGCAAGAAATTTAACACCTTGCTCTCTAGAAGAATCTGCATTTCAGTTTTATTTAATGTCTAATATTCTGAAATAACTTCATTTCACTTACTTGTGCATAATACTTCCATGTCTTGTTAGACTAGAGTTGCTATCTGGTCTAGCCAGATAAAAGAAGCTCCTGCTTTTAAATGAAAATCAACATCCTGAACTCTCTGAAGGTTTCTATCCATACAAGAGCTCTGA